AAAAAAAAAAAAAAAAAAAAAAAAGGCCACTTGGAAATGGGGTCTACTAAACAGCTCTGCTTGTTCATGGGCCCTTCTGAAACCTAAACTCTTGGTTTCTTTTCAACCCCCAAAATGCCCATTTCCTGTAATCTCAAGCTCAGCTCCACCTTACAGTGGTGAACTGAAGTGAGAAAAAAAGTGTCATGTGGGAGACCCCTCAGTAAAAATGCATCACCTCCAACCTGGCTTCTGTGAACCTTGGAGATGTGATTGCCACATTAGGAGTCATGCTGATACGAAGGAGGCAATTTTTTCTTCATTGAAACATCCCTACGTAAAGTTGATGCAAGTTAAGGAGCTTGGTTCAATTTTCCATGCTATGAAAATGGATAATATGATGTATTTTGACCTGAATGCAAGATTAATATTGAACCACCAATGAATATTATAGCTACCACAGGTTAAGTTTATGGATTTAAAGCAGATGCTGTGATGTTTTTCCATTATTTTTAGCTCTCAGCCTATAATTCTGTTCTGAGATACTTTTTCACATTGCCAATGTAGCAATGAGCTCTCAAAGTATTTTAGCTTAGCATGTTAAAAAATGATTCCTTGGAAATTCAGGTCTTTCTTCTGCCAGTGCAGAAGTCCTGTGCACCTGAAGACGTTGTCGTAAGCCAAGCTGCCAGTGTAGGGCATGAGCTCTGTGTGCAGTCGATGTCCGTCTGTCCCAACACGGTGCTGCTGAGTGACACCGGCACCTGGTCTGCTCTTTTTATCCTGGTCTAATGTGGGCTAGCAGCTGGCAAAGGTTGTTTTTAATCATGTATTTATAAAACTTTGACGTTGCGCAAGCCCAGACACAGAGAAGCAATGTTCTGAGCGCTCAGCACTGAAAACCTAAAGGCTGGATGGGGGCTCTGGTTTCTCGTCCTGGTGAGGTGGGAGCCAGAGCCCTGCCTTGCCAGTACCAAACCCATCATTTACTAAGAAATACACAGAAGAAAACCTTAAGCCGAATGCTCCCCTGGCTATTTTGAGCAACAGATGCCCTGCTCCCTCTGCAGGAGCCTGTCTGATTGGTATTTCACTAATGTGTTTATTTAGAAGTAAATTTAACGACCAGAGGGTACGGTGATATATTCATTCTTTTTCGGCTCCTTTTCTCCTTAGCTCCAACCTGAGCGCCTCACTGTGTCACAGGGACATCGTCTGGCTGAGGTGTAAACTACAACATCTAATTGTATCTTCTGGGTTTAGAGATGATGGAAGAAGCATCTTCTTGTTTTGGATCCTGTCTTGCATTTATTTTCTATTGCCTCCATTTCTTTTCCTATCTTGCATTTATTTTCTATTGTCTTCATTTCTTTTTTTATTTAGAGAGTACAAGATATTTTAGGTGTATTGGTTTCTCCCTGTCTGCATATGACATGGAGTTTGGAAATTCAGGAGCCTATGTTTTGTCCTGCCGTTGCATAGGAATAAGGATTTACAACTACATCTCAATGACTAAAATGATACTCAATTTATCTTTGAGATATATTGTAAAGACAACCCTAACATTTGATCAAGACTACTTTTAATTAAATGTTGACACAATTCTTGTTTGTCTCCCAGGACCTTATTGCTAAGAAAAGAAATATCCTAGAATGCATAGTCGATCCTAGAGCAATGATCTACAACATGCAGTGTCCCCTTAACACCTTCTCTGCCCAGCAGTCAACAGTGAGAAGCCAGTATGTATGTTAAAAGACAGAGGAAACAGAAATGCAATAAAAAGGGAAAAAGTAACTTGTGCATTAAAACAGTTCTCAGGAAGTGAGAGAAAGCTTTTCAAAGTGATTCCTTTTACAGTGATACAAGGAATTTGTCTTCCACTGTATGTATAGCTCAATACACAGTATTGAAATTCTTATGTGATCCTTATAAAATCAATCAATAACACAGCAACAACAAATAAATAATAAAATAGTTTTTTTTTTTTTTTTTAAAGAGCTGATCTAGTGTAAGAAAATGTGGCTAAACTTTTAACAACCGAGGCACTCAGCTTGACTTGTTATGATACTGGCTGACTTTGGCTTTAGTCAAGGTATGCTTGAATCAATGCCTTTAAATTGAAGATCATCCACCTAAGCTTTTGCACTTCTTTAGACCAAATAATTGAAAGATGTGTTTTGAAGCTGCTGAGTTTACTCATGTGGATAAGAACTGATACCAAAAGTACACATATGAAAACTGTGACATATTTTTATCACTGAGCATTTCTGAGGCTCAGGATTTCGAAGCAGCAAAGGGTGAGGAGGCAACTGGTTATGTGTGGTTTGCAGTTGATTTTATCTTGGCTCTGTGTCGTGCATCTCCTAATGATGAATGTGTGTGAGGGCCAGGTCAGGAATGGTTTCCACTCCAGTGCATTGATTGTGTAGTTGGCAGTGGGCTCAATTAAAGTATAATAATCTTGTAATCTTTATCCTTTTTCAATTCAGGCTGTTGCACATTGAATAGAGCCTGTGAAAGACTATAGCTTTTGAAAAGTAGGTGAACTCCTTGCCTCTTTGTCTAAGCAGTTTGTGTCTAGTCAACTAAAATGACAGGCAGAAGAGACAAGTCCCCAAAACGTTGCTCCTCTGACTTGCATCATTGCTTCTGTTTGTGTCTTTGTGGGTTAACACTTGTTCTTTGTTTTCTTCTCCTCTCTTGCTAGGCTAACGATTGGATTTATAGCGAGCTTCCTACCACAGTGAAAAGACAAGCTGATGTGAGAAAGGAGATATGCTCGTTATGGGAAGGTGCCGTTTACCCCATCTCCTGGTTCTTCTTGCGTTTGTGTTCAGTGGAGAGAAAAGCCAGGCGCAAAGAGCAGGTAGGCATTGCAGTTCCACATACTCCCTCAGGTAGCAGCTGGGGCTTGTGCTTGTCTGAGGTGTTACTGATTCTAAGAGGAAAACAATTTAAAAAAAGTAAACAAACAAACAAGCAAGACATTAAGACATTCAACACTGAAAAGATAAAATAGATATTTTATCCTTTTCAAGGATAAAGATAGCTCAAGTATTGAAGTTATGATTTAACTAGACTCTGTGCAGCTTCTGCAGGATTAATGGTGCTACCTCAGCTAACAAGAGCAGCATGCAGTTTACTCTGCATATGCCTCATCTACCCTGCATTGGTGTCCAGATAACTTCTTCCATTGCTTTTTATAGATTTCAGATTAGACCTGGTGGAACTTTTCTAGTTGGCTAAATAGGGCTAGGATGTAAAATGGTTCATGCTCTCTAGTTGCTAGCATGATCCCTGCCATGTTTTTTGGCCTGTGCCATTTAGCACTGTCTCCCAAATGGCAGTGAATGCATGAGGGGACAGCGCAGTTGAGAGATTGTTCTTACAGGCTTGGTTAACCTTAGACAGCCTTCTGTGTCTTGACAAAGCCACTGTTTTCTCAAGTAATAGGAACAGTTGAAGCATAGGGATGTGGACCTGGCCATGCTTCAGAGCCGGAAAATGACTGTAGACCTACCTAGTTTACTGGTTTGGGAGCCCAGTGGCACTTTGAGATGGAGACATTCTGGCTCCTTTACTAGGAGACATGCTGTTCTGAAGCCTTGTCTAATTTACAGTAAAGAAAAGGAGTTTTTAGCCTGGCTCTCAGTCTAACAAATAGCTTCTCCACAGTGATCTTATGTGATCTATACAACATTTTGGAAAAAGGATAACAGGGACAAGAGGTTAGTAACAAAACAAAGTGAAACTTACCTTTTTTCTTTTCTCTTTGTGGATCAGTCAGAATAGACAGGAGATGGTGATACCATTTATGTGTTCATTCTGTGATTACTTTAAATAATTCTAGACTTATGGCTTGTTTATGAACCATTTTTAATGACAATATAGCAAAATGGATGACTCAGTGTCTCAGCGGATGAATACAGCTCCTGGAATGATGTTTCCAGAGAGCATTTCTATAATTGCAAAACTGGAGTTCTCTCTCTATGAATTATATTCCATATTCCCTTAACATGAATTGTTTCTGCCAGTAAACAATATTATTATACTATTCCTGGAAAACAATCAATTTTGTCCAGCAGTGGACATTATTGTGCTAAAAATGCAGATTAATATTTACTAAAAGCTTTTCTGCAGCATTTCATCTCACTGTCATCAAGTCTGTAAGTAAGGAACCACAGACTCTAAGAAAATGATCCTGAAAGATCATCTTTTTCTTCCTTGCAGTACTGTCTGAACAGACATCATATTTTAAATCTTGAAATCCCCCTTTTTTTAAGGCTCATTGTCCTTGAACACAGACAGGATTCATTCTGTCTGTTCTGTTTATTTTTAAATTGCAATCATCTCGCCTACTGAGAATCGTTAAAACAAGCAACAGGAAGGTCTGTACCTTGTGCTTGTGCATTATATACTTAGACCTTAGATTCTTTAGTTAATCTCACTTAATTAATATTCTTTCAGATAAAATACATTAATACAATGATTGGGGTTTTTTTCCATAGGAAAGTGGAGATTAGTTACATACCTTTTGCGTCTATATGCTATATGCTTTAAGATCTGCAAAGAACAAGTGTGCATTTACATTAGAGCTTTAGTTTGGCTAGGAGCGCAGTAAGGACAGTCTAGGGGAACTGAGGAGGATCGCAGGGCCAGGAGGAGGTCAGGGGTCTTCTTAGCAGCCACCATTGTTCAGCAAGGTGAGCAGGACCAATCCCATGATCAATCCCAGAGTAGCCAGGTTCAGCCAAAACTCCAGATTGTCAAACAAACTCATAGTGACAAAACTGACACGATGTCAGAACACAAGTCAGCAAATAAGGGTCAGGACCAGGTCTGGAGAGACCTGTAGTATCTGGGTGAACAACAGCTCTATCGCAGGGCAGGTCCATGGTGAGGCTGTCAAGGCAATCGGTGACTCAGGCAAGGACCAAGGGCAGGAGTGTCATCTTAAAATCAGATTCAATGGGAAGGAAAAGAAACTTCTACCAGCAGAGCTCTCTAAAAGAGCTCTGACCGAAACAACCAAGCCCTGACAGTCGAGCCTCTCAGTCACTGGAATGCTCTCAGATCCTTAACAAGGGATTAACTTCCAAAGTTAATCTTCTAAGTGTCTCCACTTACTGTGTTTTGTTTCACTTTGTGGAGCAGAAATGGATCAATTTCTGATGAAACTCAACTGCAAGATGTGCTTCAAAAGTGCATATAATGAGCTTCACAGACTAATGGACATTTAGTTGCTAGGACCTGACTGGAACTAATCTGGCATGAAAACATGCAAATCATGCATAGTGGGGATGTCCACTTCTCAGCACCAGCTGTTTTGCTCTATACATCTGGTCCTAGCAGTGCACAACCTGTGTTAGTGTACGGAGAGTGGAACTCCCCACAGCAAGCATGCCTTGGACTCAGGCATTCTCACAAATACATACAGAATTTCTGGCCAAGGGAAGTAGATTATTCAATCCACATCAGAGACCACAGGAAATCATTAACATGGTCATAGTAAGAACAGTTGGGGAGTAAGTTCTCTGCAGTAAAACGAGAATCAAGACTGCTTTGGTGGATGTGGCTAGATGTGGGCTGCTCCAGACCCTGATCTAAGTAAAGAGGTTTAAAGGCAACTGCTAACATTTTAAGGGACAGAAATAACACTTCAGGACAACTGGGAAGAGAAAATCCTTGTAACAGACAGAAATTAAATGTCACAGGCACTGATATGGAACAGCTCTTTTGTCTCGCATCATTTTATATGTGCCTGTTCTTCACATGATTGATTAAACTAGCTTTTTACCATTGAGTCAATACAAGCAGTTGTACTTTGTGAGGGGATGTGAGACCAGAACTACTAGAGAAACGTTGATTGTGACCATAGATAAATTGAGTTTGTAGAGATGTTTTCATCCTGAAAACTGCTATAATTTGTTAGACTCTATGGCGTGTAAGAGTCAAATAAATAGAACCTATATATATATATATATATATATATATATATATATATATATAATGTGTGTATTTTGTCAAACTGGTGTATTATAATAATCTATGTTTGTCTGGGACTTTTTATGATTATACAGTGTTTTGGCTTGGATATACTCAGAGCTACAAGATATCTCCTGGGAGATGTACTTCCTTGGCAAGCAGCTGACAAATATATGACCAGTCTGGCTTTTCAGGACAAGAAGGCTGCAATTAAAATACATTTGCCTTTCAGATTACACAGGCCTCAGATTACAAATATCATGGCTACAGCCAAAGGGTGGTTGTGGAGATGCATGAACTTTTTTCTTACAAAGGAACTCTCCTTTGTTGTCAAGGAAGCTATCCCAGTACTCAGTGAGTCATCCTTTAGTCAATAGTCAGTGGACAGCCTCAAAATCAAAATAATCTTGTTACAAACTTGCTTCAACAAGGTATCATGCTGAGCAAAAGAACTGCTTCTAGCTAAGGACAAATAAATCATAATGTTAATGAAAGGAGAGACAGGAAAGCTTCACTAGTCAATGTCAGGATTGGCATAGGCAAGGTCAAGGCAGCTCTCTTGATCTGCCAAGGTCATTTCAGAGGGGTACATGAGTAAAGAGGACAGAAAAGTAACTGCACTGAGATTTTTAAGGGGAAAAATAGCTTCATATGTATGCAGACAGTAGAGGCGAAAGACTGAGCAAAGAAGCAGTCATTAGTGCAGAAAAAGAGAGGGCTTACCTTTCAAAGTGAAATATGTGCTGATCTACTGTAGATGGCCTGAAAAAGGTGAGGTCAGTCAAAGGAAGAAAGGCTGAGAACCTACACTTTTTAGTAGTAGGATAGGGAAAGAGTTTGCTACCTCTTCAAAATCATTCACTAAATAGAAATGCGTACAGGATATTTGGTTTATCCAATACTTGTCTTTCAGCTCCCCTTAGTGACATACTCTATCACTCCTGCAGGTTGCAAGAACGTACACTATGACCTTGTTTTCATCTTGGATGCCTCCTCCAGTGTTGGAAAAGAAGATTTTGAGAAGGTTCGACAGTGGGTGTCTAATTTGGTGGAAACTTTTGAGATTGGCCCAGATAAAACCCATGTAGGTGTGGTGCGGTACAGTGATCGGCCAACCACGGAGTTTGACCTAGGAAGGTACAAAACTCGTCAGGAAATTAAAGAAGCTGCCCAAAAAATTAAGTATTATGGGGGTAACACAAACACTGGAGATGCTCTCAGGTACATCAACAGTTACAGTTTTTCCAAAGAAGCAGGTGGGAGACTTAGTGACCAAACTGTTAAAAAGGTGGCTATCCTTCTGACGGATGGAAGAAGCCAGGATTATGTCTTAGATGCAGCCACCGCAGCCCATCAGGCTGGGATTAGGATTTTTGCTGTGGGTGTTGGTGAAGCCTTAAAAGAGGAACTGGATGAAATTGCTTCAGAACCCAAGTCTGCTCATGTGTTTCATGTTTCTGATTACAACGCCATTGATAAAATTCGGGGGAAGTTGAGAAGACGTCTTTGTGAAAGTAAGTAGAGCTCCCACTTCTTTTATGAAATGAGAATTTTAATGGGTTCAGTTAGCACATAGATATGAAAAATCTGTAATTGTTTTCCTTCATACTTTCCTACTTATTATTCTGTGCTGCTCGTTCTTTATTTTGCTGTCTTTGATATCCTGTTCTGTAAGAGGTCATTTTACTATCTGGATAAAGTGCTCATTTTAAGTTCCTTGGCCAAGGTCAGTATTAACTATAGGTCAGCTTCCAATGATGAAGCTAGAGAATATGCATGGAATTGCTTTTAGTTCTGACATAGTTTATTTGCTTTATAATATTTTGAACATAAAGATTTTGATCTATTTCCAGGGCATCCTAGCATAGATGTGGAAGATGATGTCTTATTTATACAAAGAATTTGAAGCAGGTCTTTTTTTTCTTATTTTCTGCTATTATAGTATAAAAAGCATGCTCTGGATGCTGCTGAGAATAATTGTTTAGGAAGCAAAAGGAATACCTGAGAACATACAAACCTCTGCAAAGATGGAGGATATCATCCATGCAGCAGGCCCATGCCATGCTGATGTTTAGTCTGTGTGTATTCTAAGACAAAGCATACATTGCCAGAGCCAAGCTGGGTTTTAATAGACATAATCCTCTCTGAGCTCTTTAGAGACACGTGAATCAAGCAGAGGAAATAGCAGAGCATTTTTCTGTTTTACTGGCCAGTGATGACTCTTCCAGTCCTTGTGCTACTGTACTGCAGACTGTGTGGAGTCGAGCAGACAGTAGAGTTCATGCCAGCAGCTGTTCAGAATCAATTGTCTCTGGTCTCACAGGATGTCTGTCCTCAGCTCCATCATTCCATTTTGCTATATTTGACTGAATTTGTTGCTAAGAACATATCACTAAGTTCATTAATACCATTTTAGCTCACATTTGATACCGTGGAAGTAAGCGTAGCTGATTTGGAAAATAGCATGCCTACTCAGTGGAATGTTGTGGCAGTGGGAGATATTTTTGCCAAACTTCTCCATTACATTTTAGACTATAGTTAGCAAGAAAATTTGGGTGATGCTTTTACATGACAGCAGGAGACATATACTCTGCTAAAAAATTCCAGAGATGCCTCATGTTTTCTAAATAGGGTTTCTGCTTATATACCACAGAGATGAGATGAAGCAGCCGTGGAATATTTAAAAATATACTGGCACCTGCTTTTGCTAGGTAAACACTAGGTTTTTGCTTGTCACGAGAGAGCAAATTGCTTTGATTTCGACACAAGTTTCATTTGAAATTGGATTTGATAAGTTAGTACATATGTAGAGCAGTCAGCTTGTGTTGGGTTAGTTGTGGTTAGCATTTGACATCTAAGCCTCGGTTGAGGGGACTCTGGAAAGGTCCCCCAAAACAGCTCAGAAATCTGCTCAGAAATTATTGCTTCTTAAACAGCATGGATTGCACTGCACTAGATGCTGCAATATTTGGATTTATTTTGTTATAATTAAACTAAACAGGTGAAAAGATACAGCTTGCAAAACTGGCCAACAGCATTTTTATAAACCCATTTTCATTGTTCAGTGCCTCCATATGCAGTTGGCAGTCCAGTTGGCATTTTTGGACCACATTGCACCTATGTGGGATTACTAAACTTTTGCTGTATGGCGAAATTTAGATTATATATCTTGAAAAGAAATGTGGCTTAGAGTTACAGTCTCTGCAGAGTGTTGTTCATTCTACAGCTAGTGATAGAAGAAATATAAGTAAATGTTTTCCAAAGAAGGACTCGGGGAGCATTGAGCTCAGCCTTGGACCAGGAAATCTGAGACAATGTTTGATATTCTGCACAGTCTTCCCAGCTGCTTGAGGTGTTGGCAAAAGGATTTCTAGACTGTATTACACTGAACAAAATTTCATCTCCTTACATTGCTATCTTAGTGATTTAACTCACTGGCCTGATAGAGTTCAGGCAAACCTGGTAGAATCAGTGTTAACTGCTTGCCTCTCGTGGGTGAGTTATAGGGTGGTGGTTGCTTTCTTCCAGCTGAGGTGAGCAGCCTATTACCAGACCGGCCTATTACCAGACTGGCCTATTCCAGCTGAGGTGAGAGGCCTATTACCGGATTGTTGCCTGATCCTTTATATAGCTGAACACACAGCACCATTTTTCAATACTGATGTCAGCAGAACAACCTGGAAGACTAGTTGTCATGGCAGAATCTGGCAGACCTCTGGCTGTCTTTGTCAGAATTAATTAATTCTTGTCTTTTATGCACAATGTAGCTTTTTAATCAGTTTTTAGTTGCCTGTGACATTCATTCATCAGCAATAAGTTCCTCCCCAGGAGTGTAGAATACCAAAACAGTATATCATCACTAGAATCTCAATACTTTAGAAGGGGATAGGGTTAAAATGTTTCAATGACTGGATAATACCAATTGCTTGGTATCAATCAGCTTGTCAGTGATTTGAATGGATACAGAGATATTCTCAAAAAGACTTGTGTTCATATGGTTTTATATATACATGTATTTTTTGACTTTGAGTATGTATAATGTAGGTTTTATGCTGTTACTGTTCTATTTCTGACATAAAAGGGCTCCCAGCCTTCAAGACAGTAACTTGAACATGCTGTTCAAAATAACGACCTAAAAAAAAAAGTATATTTCTTGAAGTCCGTGCTGCTCAGATTCATGGTGTATTCATAGAAGACCTCATCATTACAATGATAGAGTTTTCTTCCTGGACTTCAACATCAGAAATATCTCATGCACAAAGATCATTCCAAAGAGCAGACACCTGAATTGCTGTATTTTGGGTAACAGGTACAGAAAGAGTAGATAGTTCCCATGAGACATACTGGTATGGCTAAGTTGCATATCTAACGGTATTTACTCAACTGTTGACATTAGAATCATGGTACTCCCCATTTTCTAGTTTTCACAGAATCACAGAATGGTTGAGGTTGGAAGGAACCTCTAGACATCATCTAGTCCAACCTTCCTGCTCCAGCAGGGGCTCCTAGAGTACATGGCACAGGGTCCTGGATCTTCAGACCCCAAGTACCATTTTACTCACAGGACTATATTCCTTCCAAAGGGGATAGTTTGTCTTTATAGATATATTTTGTTAAGCTCTGAGATTTTCCTGCATACTTACTCATTTCTAGATAGCTTTGCCATGGTGTAGGAAAGGAGGTGAAACTCAACAAAGTGGCAGAAATAGGGAAACTGGACTGTTTTTACTGAGCTTGACTGTGGTTGTATTTTCTGTTATGTTTGTCTGTAAAGCAGACTTGGGAATTTGTAGATTGATTTTGCTTTCACAGCTTGGGATTTGTCTTTATCTGGGTTCTCTAAAAGTTCAGTTTAGCAGTATTTCCAAATCTTGCTTTGGTCTGATTGCAAGGTATTGTGGGAGCTGGTTTTCATCATTGTGACTTGTGGAGACCTCCCACAAATATGAACATAGTTTGCTGCGATCGCAACAGGAGTTGGTATGTGGCCAAAAGTGGACCTATATATTTATTTGCAAAAATTTGTGGCATCCATTTCTGTGCTGAATGCTGAGAAGGTGAGATGTATTGAGACTGCTAAAGAACTGGGTAAAATCTGATTAACAGAATACATCCCATAGAAATAATCCAACTCTCATGCTTTCCCCCTTGACACTGTAATCACTTCCAGATGGTTTGGAAAGGTTGATAAAAGCTCAGCAGACAACTTTCATTTTTATTTTAGCAACTGGACCTAGGCAGTGACCCAACTGGCAACACCTCTGGTACCTTTTGTCGCTCCTTGATACTCTTGTCTCTCCCGGCGGCAGTAATGGTGTTCTCAAACACTACACCCACCTAGATCCGTGGCATCTACAACTTGTAGTAATCCTGCATGTCAAGGTGACAGGATCACATTTCCACCATTATCATATTTGCTGGCTAAACTGCAGTTTTCTGCAAAGGCAGAATGGCTGTGACAGTCTTTCCAGCTATTTTATCCTTTGCTTGAAAGAAGAGAAAAACTTTGACTTTTCATGGATGATGGCCTAGGAGGAGATAAAATACTTGATGGACTTCGTGCTGATGACATTATGCAACTTTCTTCTGTCATTCCATGGCTTGAAGGACAACCTTCTATCATGGTTTATGGCTCCAGGAAGCATAGCAAAGGTCTTCTTATTCTCTTACAGATTTTTTGTTTGTTTGTTTTTTAGTTTTCATACTACATGCTGTCAGAAATACTCAAATTTTGTTTTCCGCTTAGTGCAATCACCACCAGTTTAAAACAAAACTGTTGCAGTGCTGGAATCTGGCAGGCAAAGCTCAGAAACTGAGCAGCGAATCTTGGTTACTCCATGTGGAAACAACTCTCTTTTCCCAGAACATGCCTTCCATTGTGTTCTGGTATAGCACAGTGTAGGTATCATTTGAATAACTTCCTATTACACTTGGGACTCTAGAATGAAAAGGTTTATTCTGAGATTAGCAACACATTGCTTGATGACTAGTTTAAGACAGCACTGCTGCTAAAAATGATAGCCTTTCTCTTCCTATATTCCTTCTCCCATCTGTCAGCACAGAGATTCATGTGGCCCGACCATGAACTACAGCAAGGAGCTGATGAATGTTCGTATTTTCTTTCCTGAATTAGTTTTTACTTGGATTTAGTTCAACATGAAGGCACATGTACATTTTCTATCCCGGGGGACAAAATGGCACAAAATGAGGACTAATAACTCAGGGAAGGAGAAGACTTAGATTGCATCTTTTGGTGAAGTGCTCGTTTGTGTCAGCTACGTGAACTACATAGCATGAACTAAGGACTTAAGAAAAATGAACAAAATCCTTTGGCCAGTAAGCCAGAGCCTATGTTCTGCTTTCTTCTGATTAAAATATGCACTAAAATGAATTACTAGAGAGGTTCTTCATGTTCAAACTCATCTTCTAGGCTTCATAGCACCTTGTTGGTGCTATGAGAGAAGGACCTGGGAGTCCTGGTTGACACCAAGTTAACCATGAGTCAGCAGTGTGC